TGTTCCGTGTGATGGGGTGTTCCGTGTGATGGGTGTTCCGTGTGATGGGTGTTCCGTGTGATGGGTGATGGGATGTTCTGTGTGACGGGATGTTCCGTGTGATGGGATATTCCGTGTGATGGGTGATGGGATGTTCTGTGTGACGGGATGTTCCGTGTGATGGGATATTCCGTGTGATGGGTGATGGGATGTTCCGTGTGATGGTTGTTCTGTGTGATGGGTGATGGGATATTCTGTATGATGGGTGTTCCATGTGATGGGTGATGGGGTGTTCCATGTGAGCAGGTGATAAGGATGTTCCATGTGATGGGATGTTCCGTGTGATGGGATGTTCCGTGTGATGGGTGACAGGATGTTCCGTGTGAGCAGGTGACAGGATATTCCGTGTGACGAGTGATGGTCAGGTGTGTACAGTCACCTAAACTTGTCAGTCTCAACCCTTAAGATTTATGCATTTTGTCGTAAAATTTTTTTTTTTTTTTTGAGACAAAGTCTCACACTGTTGCCTGGGCTGTTGTGCAGTGGTGCGATCTCGCTCCCTGCAACCTCTGCCTCCCAGGTTCAAGCAATTCTCCTGCCTCAACCTCCCAAGTAGCTGGGGCTACAGGCACACACCACCACACCCGGCTAATTTCTTTTGTGTTTTTAGTAAAGATGGGGTTTCGCCATGTCGGCTAGGTTGGTCTTGAACTCCTGACCTCATGATCTCCCCGCCTCGGCCTCCCAAAGTGCTGGGATTACAGGCGTGAGCCACACCAGTCTCGGCAAGGTGTGAGGATTCAACGTGCAGCACGGGACGTGTTTAGCGCAGTATCCGGCAATGCCCTGCACATCAGCAGATACTCTGGTCATGACTTGCAGAAGCCACTTTTGGGCTGGCTGTGGAAGCCGTAACCCAGAGGGCATCACCAAGGGCAGTGGCCACCATAGGACCTGCTGCTCACAAGGAGGCTTTTTTTTTCTTTTCTTTTCTTTTTTTTTTTTTTGAGACAGAGTCTCAATCTGTCACTCAGGCTGGAGTGCAGTGGTGAGATCTGCGCTCACAAGGAGGCTTTTTTTTTCTTTTCTTTTCTTTTTTTTTTTTTTT